AAAAAGAGAAACATGGCATGTACTCTCTCATATATGGATTTTAGACATAGATCTGGGGAGTGCCAGCCTACAATCCTATTGCCAGAGAGTCTGGGAAACAGAAACTTCATTTACTGGCTGGTTAAGTACTGAGCTGAACTCAAGAAAGCCAGTATCAGAGAGGGAGGACTGATGATCAAAGGGATTAAGACTGGGCTGGTTGAACCCCCAGAAACAGCTGACCAGACAAAGGTTAACTCTTGAATCCCAGGCATCAGCCTGGGAATCCAGCATGGGACTGATCAAGACCCCCTGAATCTGGGTGTCAGTGAGGAGGCCTAGGTAATCTATTGAGCCTTGGACAGCAGATCAGTACCCATCCCAAGTATACACACGGTCTCTGGACTCCCATAGAACAATGTGAGGTGCACTCTCACCCTGAACTCTTGGGGAAGGGTCTAGGCCCTGCCCTATATGAAATGACAGACTATGGACACCCCCATGGAGGGCCTCACCCTCCCTGGGGGAATGAGGGGATAACGGGGGGATGGGGGAGGGCACGGGAGGAGGGGAGGGAAAGGGAGAGGGACCTCGTACTGACTTGTGAAGCAACCTTGTTTCTTATCTAAATTTAAAATGGAAAATAAAAAAAATATTAATAAATAAAAAAAAGACAATAAAAAAAGTGTATAAACTTTTTAAGCTATTTTTGGACTTTGTTAGACTGGAGACTGTTGTTTACAAAGAGCAATGCATTGTCAAGGAGACTGAAGAGCCTAGTCAGCTCCCAGCAAGTGAGTGTCAGGTCAGGGTGGCAGAGGCACAGAAGACATGCATACTCAGCACTCGGTCAGGTACTACAGATGCAAGCATAAACAACAGAATACAAGAGATTGAACAGAGAATCTCAGGTGATTCATCAACCAAAGACAATCTTAAGTCCAACAAATTCCTAACACAAAATATCCAGGAAATATGGGACACTGTGTAAACACCATACCTAAGAATAATAGGACTAGAAGAATGTGAGGAAAGTCAACTCAAAGGGTCAGAAAACATATTCAACAAAATCATAGAAGAAAACTTTCACAACTTAAAGAAAGACATGCCAATGAAGGTGCAAGAAGCTTACAGAACACCAAGTAGAGTGGACCACACCAAAAAAAAAACCCTTGCCACATAATAATCAAGACCTCAAGCATACAGAATAAGGAAAGAATACTTAGAGTAGTTAAGGAAAAAGTTCAAATAATATATAAAGGCAAACGTATGAGAATTACACCTGACTTCTCCATGGAAACTCTGAAAGCCAGAAGGTCCTGGATAGATATTCTACCAACACTAAGAGACCATGGATGCCAGCCCAGACTACTATACCCAGCAAACCTTTCAGTCAATATAGATGTTGAGTCTACTTTTAAGAAACCACTATTCTCAAATATTTTACATTGGTATGGATTTAGTATATTGATACGAATTTAAGGTAATTTTTTGTTAGAATATACTGTACAAACATTTCTTCTCTTATTTAAAGTATGGTATCTATGCAGCTCATTAAACAATGAGATGCAAATTTCTAGTCCTTGAATGTTATTGTTTACAAACTAGGAAAATAAAGAAATGCAGGATAGTAGTTAGTCACCTACAACAATCAAACTTGTAGCCATATTAGGTATGTTTTCAAGGTGAAATAGGGATATATTTTAGATAGAAATGAAATATTCTAACACTTCAAAGACCTACATAATATTACATTTAAAATGTTTTAATAACGTAAGGATTTTCTTGACAATGAGACATGTCTGATCCTGGGAGCACTAACTTACTTCAAAAATGGATTATGGCCATAGAAGAACCTCCACATTGAGTTTATGGCAAATACTAGCCATTTGAACAAGAAGCTGTCTTTGCCTTGACTATTGACACTATGCTGTCCAAACTGTATCAGCAGGACACAAAGAATTGGGACTGCCAAAATTTGCAAAGACAAGGTAGGACAGTCCTTCAAAAATTCTGCTTCACAGAAAAGTCTGTCAGATATGTTACACCTGTAGGGTGAAGACAGATTCCCCAACATTAGAGAGGAATCTTGGTTGACTGTTCAGCCAGCCAGCTGTTCATCTCGTTGCTTTTAGATTTGGAAGATGCTTGCTCTGTAGTTCATATTTACTCAAGAAATATTTTATCCCCTTGAGTCTTTGATGGAGTAGTTTTCCTTCGTTATGATAAAATGTAAAATATTTACAGACCTTTGAACCTGTCCAGATAGAACAAATAATGGGGTATTTTCTCCGCATATGCTAAATACAAATGAACTGGACATTGTAAATGTATTTCTTACCTGACAATTGGTATTATCATTTATAGTTTTATGGTGTTAGATTTTAAAAACCTTTCCTTTTATGTAGACAAAAAGCTGAAATGTGAAATAACCTTTTTGTGCACTGTGAAGATATGTTTTTGTCAAAGTACCTTCTGATTGGTTTACAAAACAGCTGAGTGGCCAATAGCTAGGTAGAATTTCCAGGCACAAAGAGGTCTGGGAAGAAAGACAGAGACCTGATCAGATGCAAGGGACTCAGATCAAGCATCATAGGCTTTACACAGTGAATGTAATCGAGCCCTGTGAAATAACATAGATGAAAAATACTGGTTAATTTAAGTTGTAAGAACTAGTTAGAAAAATGTCTAAGCTATCGGCCAAGGATTCCTTAATTAATACGAAGTCTCAATGTGGTTATTTGGGAGCTGGCTAGGTGGGATAGAAAAGCCTGCCTCCAGAGTCAGGCTCCCCTACAATGATTGGTCTTCTTAGATCAATGCTTTACAGTAATACAGGTCTTTAGGAAAATTGCTCCACAGGTGAGCAGAGGAGAGATGAGAACCAGGACAGCATGCACTGTCCTTAGTTCCAGGTGGAAAGCCTGTCTCTTTTGAGGTGTCAATTATAGATTCTCAGAAAGAGCTGTGGAGAGAAAATGCAAACAGCTGTGGGAATGCTCCAGACATGGTGTGGCTGACCTTTGAGTTACCTTATCTTTGTAGGGGTACTTCTCGGGAACTGAGGGGGTGTGTTTGATCACATACTTTGATCCATGTGTTCCCAGTCCTTCCTTGAAACTGAGGTGCCTATTCCTTTCCCCCCTCTATTGTATGCATAGAATGTAGAAACATAGCCAAATCTATGTGTGTGCTTGTATATAGTGGCATAATTTATGGAAATAACCATAAATTCACAACACATAGCCAAGTTTTTTTTGTTTTGTTTTGTTGGTTTTATTTTTGGATTTTGTTTTGGTGACAGGGTTTATCTTTATAACACTGGCTGTTCTGAAACTTGCTCTGAAGATCAGGCTGGCCTCGAACTCAGTGATCCACCTTTCTTTGCATTCACAGTCCAGGATTGAAGGTACCTGCCACCACCACTTGGCTTAATACATACAAGTTTTAAGGGAAGAAACTGGTCAGGCAGTTCTGCTTTCCAAGGTAACCCTGGTCAAGGCAATCACAAGGGTTTTTATTCTAACCTTAATTAATGATATCAATTCTCTTATCACTTATTACATAACACACATGAAACAAATCTCTCTATAAACACATACATACATGTATACATATATATATATATATACATACATAAACATGTGTTACAGAATTGCTGTAAAGGATTAATAGGGCACTGCAGAAGTCAAGAGATTTCAGAATTCCTGAGGAGCAGACAAACACGGGAATCTAAATAAAATCCCATTTGACAAGATAAAAAACTATGGCAGATTGGAGAAGCTGGAGAAACTATGCTAACGGCAGGTCAGGCCACTTCAGGTCATCTGCTTGAAGGCAGAGCTGTGGAGTTTTTAGCTGCAGGGGCAAAGTGCAGGACAAGGCCTGGATGAAGGAACAGGAAGACAGATGGATGGCAGGTCCAGGTGTGTGAACAAGAAGACAGACAGAGGAGAGAACTGCATGGAAGGAGACATAGGACATAGTGTTACTAGGTGAGCCATGTGAGGTGCAGGAGCAGTGTTGTGATAGAGACAGACATGGGACGCCCAACTTTGGCAGACAAAATCTGGGTATCTAGGAAAGATAAGAGAGGCTAAAGATTTCTTGATTAGATTCTATCCCCTAAAGGAAGGGTTTTCCTTTTCATTTATACCCTTTGCAGTTATCTCAATAAACTCAACGAAGCCTAGAGAACCAGGTAACCAAACCTACACATGGCTTGTCCCTCATACAGATAAGGCCTGTGGAGGAGCAGAAGCCCTTCCCAGACACCAGTGCTGAGCTGGATGGATAGGGATTGGCCCAGACTAATACAGGTATTTTAAGTTCTAACTCATAATGTAGAGAGGAACTGGTGATTTTATGCCATGCTTCTTAATGATTTAAAAATTATTTATTTTATGTGTAGCATGTGGGGTGGGGTAGAAGGGATATACATGCACATGAGAGCAGATGTGTAAGGGGGTCAGGGATGTCAGATCCCTCTTGAGTTGGAGTTATAGGAAGTTGTGGTCCACCTGTTATGGATGCTGGGAATTGACCTCAGGTTCTCTGGAAGAGCAAATTGTGCTATTAACCACTGAACCAGCTCCCCAGCCTCTTAACTAATGGTAAGAAGAACCCACACCCCAGAGGTCATGTGTGGAATCCTGGAGTTAGTGATCCAGTCCTGCAGGATGTTGCATTTCCTTAGAATGGGAATCCTGAGCCCTTCCTGCTCCTCCTGCATCATGACCCAGTAAATGCAGTGCCAGCAGGCCTGCTCTGTGGGATGTGGTCAGTTCATTTTCTTTGCTTGAGCAGATTTGTGTTCACTGAATGCAACAGAAAATATTATGTCCTCTGCCTGTTTGGAAGTACAGACATTGCATTGGAAGAGGGATTGTTTAGGAGCAACTTGGCCCTGATCTGTGGGGCCTGGGTGGTCAGTGTTCATCGGACTATCTGGAAGCTACAGGGATGGCTCTGATAATCAGAATAACCAATAGGAAGCATAAATGGGATGAACTCTTCAGCAATAGAATGCTAAGGATCGTTTATTTTGGACACAAAGACACAAGGAAGCAGTCACTACATATTGGTTTTCATTTACTAGGGATGCAATTCTACTGTTAAGGAGTAGCAGGGATGTGCTCCATGGATTCAGAAGAAATCTGGTTCTGGTCATCAAACATCCTGATAAGTAGGGAATCTGTCTCCCAAAGGGCTTAGAGTCTTCTGCAAAACAAATTACATCATTAATCTCCATTCCTGCAATTTGTAATTTACTTCCAGATCCTTTCTCATGGACACATCCAGATTTTGTGTGCTGTTAGGGGACAAGGCAACATGAGACTGGGCCAGCAAAGTCCCCTGGAAACACAATATTCCCTTGGACATACCTTGGTTGGGTATGGTCGTTTGAATGACAATGGCCCCCATGATCACTATTCCCACTTAGCTTGCTCTCTACTTCATGATTGTGTGTAAGTTGTAAGCTTTCATCTAGTGTTGCAGTGCCATGCCTGTGTGCCTGCCGCCATGTTCCCCACCATGATGGTCATGGACTCACTGTCTGAAACTGTAGACTCCAATACACTCTTTTCTTCTATAAGTGCTTTGATCATGGTGTCACAGCAATAGCAAAGGAAGACATGGATATACTCACTGTGAAGACAGGATGTTTGCAGACATGACCACACCCATTGCTGCAGCACTTCATTTTCCCAGGGCAAGACCCATCTCCAGAGCATTGCTCAACACAAATTCCAACAGCATCTGGGGGCAGCTTGGGACAAGCTCCCGGTTTCTGACCTTCTGAAACACACAATGGTGTTTAAGGAGGCTGAAGCAGTCAGAAAGACAAGGTTGAGAATTGATGTTAGAGGTCTGAATTCCTGCTCATCTGCAGGAAACTAGCTCACTCTATATTCTCCTTTGCACCCTGGGCTCTTCCCTCAGCTTCACCAGCTACAATCTCTCTTAGATATGAGTGTTCAGTCTGGCAATTGGGAAAGTGTGTGCCCTCCCCAAATCCTATACAGTCTCCTTCAATTGTCACAGCCCCTTTTTTACATCTGAGAAGAAGCTATAAAACCAAATGACAGGCAGACCTCTCTCATCCCACCAACCCCAGGTTCATCTCTTAGCAACTGCTCCCATGAGTCCCACATTCAGGGCACATCTCCAAAGTAAATGAGCTGCCCTGACATCTACCCCATCTTTTGTCAGATGGAACTCTTTCTCTTTCTCTTTCTCTCTCTCTCTGGCTCTCTCACTCTTTCCCTCTCTCTGTCTCTCTCCATCTCTCTTTTGAAAGAAAGCTAACGAATGTAGAGTGATCACTCTTGTAGGCTAAAAAGAAGTGAGTTTGATCCAAATAGTGGGCACGTGGCTTTGCCCTGTGGGAGCTGAGTTTCAGTCCCTAGTGTGCTTGTCTCTTTCTGCTGTCAGCCTGTTTCCCCTAGGCGTTCTTACCTTTAGGAGAGGACAGAGCACAGGATGTGTCCATCACTATGGCAATCAAAGCCACCAAAACCAAGACTGTGGCTGTCTTCATGTTGGCTCTGGCTAGCCTGAAGCCACAAATCAATTTATACCCTCAGTGATGCTAGAAACCTGGGTGTGACAGGAAGTAGTCTATGGGGAAGCATAGAAAGGAGAGTTTCCCACAAACTCCCTGACAATGCCAAGACTCATTTGGTATTTCACAATTAGACTTAGAATATTGTTCTTGATATATAGTATAGATAACCTGGGGGAAAATCAAGTATGATTTAGCACTCATGGGTTCCTTATTACATGACAGCTTGGCCCTTTTTTAATGGTGAGAGAAGGAAATAATTCTTTCTGTGTAGCTCAACAACTCAGAGTGAGAGCTGGAACCAAGACAGCCACTGTAGAGTGTCAAGGCCATCTCAGGCTTCCTGTATATCTAGCTGTGTAAGCCTGTAGCATGCTTCAGGGACTCATGATATTATGTCCTTTGTAGCTCTATGGATGGGATCCCTACACAGGTGTGGAATTTGGGACCATCTTACCTGCAGAAGTAGGCAATTAAGTCTCTCCTGGAAGAGATGGATACTCTAAGATTTCAAAGTAGCTAGAGGCCGTTGACAGTGAGTAGGCAGCCCCCATTGTGATTGTTGGTCTTCTTGGACCAATGCTCTTGTGCAAGACCAGTCTTTAGAAAGAAGGCTGCACGGGTAAGTAGAGGATGGATAGGAACCATAGGAGAACATGCAATGTACCTAGTCCCCAGTAGAGAGCCTTCCTCTTTATTATCCTATTTATAGACTCTCATAGAAGGAGCTGCAGTGCTAAAATGCCAACCCTGTTTGATGCCCACATTCATGGTGAGGCTGGCTTCTGAGATGTTTTGTCTGTGTAGGGTTAGTGCTCAGAGATTGAGGCAATTGTCACATGCTTTGCTCCATGAAATTCCAGTCCTTCCTTCAGATTGAGGAGACAAGCCTGGGTGTCTGTAACATTTGCCATTCTGCTGTGTGTATGCTACATCAGAAAAAGGAAAATTTACTTGTGATCATTTATAGTGTCATAATTTATTGGATAACCATAAATTCCTAAGATATAGCAGTGGTTTTTTGTTTTGTATTTGATTTTTGTGACATGGTTTATCTTTATAGCCATCGATGTTCTGGAGCTCTCTGTAACGAGGATGGCCTCAACTCAGAGATCTTCTAGCCTCTAAATCCCTAGTGCTAGGATTAAAAGTTTGGGCCAGCAACACTTTGCTTAAGACTCAACAGTTTTAATGGAAGACACTTGCCAGGCAGTTCTGCTTTATTGGTAGCCCTCAAAAAGGGTAGCACCGAATCTCTTTATTCCAACCCAATCATTTCACTAGTATTAACTCTCACATCACTTATTTTAAAAATACAATAAATACACCCATCTATATACATATGAAAATATTACGTATAGGTGTCACAGAAATGGCTGTAAAGGCCACAGAAGAATTCTAAAGGTTCCAGAAGTCCCGAGGAGCAGAGACAGAGGAATCTAATTAAAATCTAGATTGATAAGATAATGAAGTAACATAAAGAGGAGAAGCTGGAAAACTATGGTGACCGTAGATCAGGCCACTTCAGGTCACCTGCATGAAAGCAAAGCTGTGGAGTTGAGTTCAGCTGTAGAAGCAAAGAGCAGGACCAGGTCTGGATGAAGGAACTGGAGGACAGATGGATGGCATATCCAGGTGGGTGAGCAAGAAGACAGACAGATGAGGGACCTGCATGGAAGGAGACATTGGACATCAAGTTATGAGGTGAGCCATGTGAGGTACAGGAGCAGTGCTGTGATAGGGACAGACATGGGGCACACAATTTGGTGGGCAAAATCTGGGGATCTAGGAAATATATGAGAGGATAAGGTTTCTTGATTAGATTCTACTCCCAGAGGAAGGGTTTTCCTTTCCGTCTCTGATCCTTTGCAGTGATCTCCATAAACCAAACAATGCTGAGAGAACCAGGCAATCAAAACTGCACATGGCTTGTCCTCCATCCAGCTAAGGCCAGGGGAAGAGCAAGAAGCCCTTCCTAGACCCCAGTGCTGAGCTTTATGGATAGGGATGGCCCAGATTCCTAGAGGAGTTTTAATTTACTTTGAACTCCTAATGTAGAGAGGAACTGGTGCTTCTAGTTTGTGCTTCTTAAAGATTTAAAAATTATTTTAAATTATGTGCACTGGGTTCAGGTGAGTTACAAGAACATCTGAGGTTAGGTGAGTGAGTGGGTCAGAGGTATCAGTACCCCTGAAGCAGGAAGCTGTGATCCACATGTTATGGATGCTGGGAACTGACCTCAGATCCTCTAGAACAGCAGAATGTGCTATTAACCACTGAACCAGCTCCCCATCCTAAGAAGAACCCATCACCCAGAGTTCATTGTGGGCTCCTGGAGTCAGAGATCCAGTCCAGCAGGATGTTGTATTGTCTCAGAATGGGGAATCTCTGAGCCCTTCCTGCTCCTCCTGCATCATGACCCAGAAAATGCAGCTCCAGCAGGCCTGCTCTGTGGGACATGCTCAGTTCATTTTGTTTGCTTGAGCAGACTTATGGTCACAGAATGCACCAAAAATATTGGCATGTTCTCTTCCTTGTTTGAAGGAACAAACATGACATGGGAAGGGGGCTCGTATAGGAGAACTTGTCCTGATCTTCAGGGATTCTAGAGGCTCGGTATTAATGGGGCTGTCTGGAGGCTACAGTGATGTCTCTGCTAATCAGAATAGACAATACGATGCAAAATGAGAAGAACTGTTCAGCAGCAGAATGCTAAGGATAGTTTATTATGGACACAAAGGCACCAGGAAGCAGTCATCCCCTTATAGGGCTTCATCTTCTAAGGATGCAATTCTAGGGCTAGGGAGTATCAGGCACTGCTCTGTCAATTCGTATGAAGTCTTCTGGGATGGCCATCAGTCATTCTGGTGAGTATAGAATCCACCTCCCTAAGGGCTGCCATACAATACAAATTACATCATGATTTTCATCTGTTTAGAAAAGTTCAGATGTTAACCCCTCTGCTGATAAGCTCATTGCTTTCTGAATGTTTGAGCATGTTGTAGTGTCCCTTGTCCCCCACCTTTAACAGAACTTAGTAGACACTGATGCAACACTCTTCTTGACACTCAGGCCTATTTGTCTATTCTAGATACTATTACCTCTTACTTTTAATGCAGCACAGACCGGCCTGATGTGTAAGGAATTAAATTGATTGAATATTCCCATTTGCTTCATTATCTCTCTCCCGCCCAGAACACCAGCCCTCCTGGGGGAGTCAGACCTCTTAGGCTGGGGACGGGAAGAAGAGTAGATATCCCAGTTTATGACCATGTGGACCTAAGTCATGGTGACTTGTGTCACTTTTCACTGCGGGATCCTCTTTGTACAGTCAGGGGCCACAAGTCATGTGACTGTTGCCCTTTGCCATGTACTTTCAGCTCCTTTCTATTGGATACATTCAGATAATTGTGTACAGTCAGAGACCAAAGTAAATGAAACTGCCCAGGCACAATCCCCTGGACACTCACTTACTTCTGAATACATACCTTGATTGGTTGGAGATGTTTCACTGGTAATGACCCCCATGACATATATTTGAACATTTGGTCCTCAGTTTTCGGAGCATTTGGGGAAGGATTAGTACTGCTGTCTGGTGCACCAGCCTCCAGCAGCACAGAGCTTTAAAGGAATCCAATGGAGTTGGCATGAAGAATTTTTTTAATCTGAGGGGGTAGGGAAAAAGGAGCAAGCATATACTTTATGATGGTATCACTCTTTACTCTCATATTGAATTCTGCCAGTTTCTGCCATAATGTTTCTGTGCTTCTCTCTTCTATCTCTCATTTTAGCTGCATCTTTCCTCTCGATGTTTTCCTGCCAATTCTCCCATACACGATGTTAATCTTTCATGATGTTCCTCTCATGATGATCCCCAAATTTCTTCCCAGCTCTGTTTTTTCTTCACAGCTTAAAAAGACCCACAAAATCTTTCAGTTATTATATCTGAAGGTCACATTCCATGTCACAAGTGAATGATAAGAAACAGAGTCATTCCACCAGCTCACAAGCAATAAATCTAGAGAAGCACAGAGCAAGAAAAGAGCACTTTCTTTCAACCGACTATTTAGTGGGCTGTAACCACAACTGCAAAAGGAGAAGTCTTTCTGTCATCTATCTGTAGAGGTAGCCATATAAAGGTTAACTTCTTACGAAACTAAGAAATAAGGAAATTGTGTGTTACATCCTATACCTTTAAGTGTATAAACCTTTAAGTATTTTATGGTTAGTGGTCCTAAAAGCTCAACTTCCTCAGACTGGAGACTGTTGTTTACAAAGAGCACTGTGTTGTCAAGGAGAGTACAGAGCCTAGGTAAGAGACCCTTCTCAGCAAGTGAGCTTCAGGTGGGGGTGGAGAGGGAACAGAGGCACAGAAGACAAGCATACTCAACATTCTCTGAGGCACAACAGCCTTTGAAATCTAAAAATACAATATTTTTTGTCTTTTGTGTAACCCTTGACCATAAGAAAGGAGACTTGGAACTTTTTCTCAGGGCTATGAAGATAGTTTATACATTGTGGCCCTAGTCAGTTAGGAGTGTTTTCCTGTGGTGTCTAAACAAAGGCCCCAAAACTGAGGGAATAAATTGTACAGAGAGTTGATCACTGTCATTTGGCACCACAGTTGCTTGTCACTGGTTACCTTGGCTGAACAATTCTGACAGCTGGCTACATGTGCTTGTGAGTAAGATTGTATTTTCTGTGAATAGTTTATCTTAAAATCCAGTAACAAGGAATCTTGTCTGATCTAAAGCTATTTTAAAGTGTTATAACAATTGATGGTATACACTTGTCTTGGCAGCTAGGGAAAAGATGGCTGTTTCCCTAAGCTGTGCTCTAAGACAGATCTTAGTGGAAACTTGTAATCCCTGACGTGGGTAGCATCATTTTGTATTTATTTTATTCATCAAAAGTCTTTATAACCTAACATTATTAATATCAATTGGACAGTAGAGCTAAGGAAGACAATCCACATAAAAAGAGGCCAAATAG